CGAAGAGGGAGCCAGCAACGCTGGCTACGCCAGTCATCTTCGTGAAGAAGGAGCACAAGGCCATGGCTGTCGCCGACGAAACCACCCTCAAATGGGCGTGGGACGACTACCTCCGCAAGGAGATGAAACGCAAAGCCGCGCCCTGGAGGAGATAGCCACTCGGCGTCGCGCCGCAACGAGGGCGGCGTCATCGTCCTCGATGACAGCAACGACGAGGCACCGCCGCCCACCCAGCCCGTCCGCCAAGGCGACCCAGGGCAGGGCTGCAGCAAGGACGGCGTCGGCGGCGACTACACGACCTTGTACAGTCTCCTAGGCATCTAGAAGGCTCGGGTCGGCGGCGGAGGCGGGCGGGCGGCGGCTTTGTTTTATGTTTTTTAGTTTTCTTTCAAATTGTGTACAAATATCGCCAGAGCTATGCATGAATTTCGCCTAAATTTCCTTCAATGTTTCGCTGAAACCGTTTTAAGAAAAGCCGCTAAGGGCCTGCTTGGGGCGGCGAGTGGGGACACGACCGCCCCCAAGGCAATTTTTTCGCCGGCTCGCCCCCAGGAGGCACTATTTCAGGCACTGGGGGGCGCCGAACGAGTGGAGATGCTCTAAGCCTAGTTATAGTGGGGAGTAACTTAGAGTAGTGTCATGCATCTGACACTAGTCCTTGTTAGGACATTCATAACGCAAAGTAACATAGAAATAGTATCGTAGATGATTGTGTATATTACATTGTAGACTCATTTTGCTTTGGGTAGCGTTATGTTACTCCAAACACTTCTTTCCTCATAAACTATATGCCACATAAGCAGACTTATGTTGGAATGCACTATATTACTTACTAAGTTACTCCCATTATGACCAGCCTAAGCCTCCTCGCAACAAGGCGCAGGGCAGGGCACTACTCTCGATCTAGTTTTCCAAATCTGGTGGTCGTGGGCTCCTGCGTTGTCGGGCCTAGTGCGGGTCTTCTATGGTGTGGGGTGCTGGTGATGACGGCCCGGCTAGTGGATTGAGGTTGCCGGAGCGTGGCCATGGGTTTGGTGGCGGTGGCTTCGACCTAGGGGAGGTGTGTGTCTGGGCATGACAGGTCGAGGGATCCAGTCGCTAGATTTGAGCCGACCTTGACGTGGTCTGCGGTGGTTGGTTGGTTGCGGTCGTTAGTCTACCGTGTGGGCTGTAGGTGGTCGAGACATCTCCGGGAGAAATCCTCTTCTCCGACACGACCGACAATCAAGCGTCATGGTGGAGGTGGGCTCTTCCCTCTCCTAGCAGCCTTGGCTCCAGAGGGAAATCTCAGATTCTCTGGATTAGGTGATACAGGCGTCCTCACGTCTCTCTCCTCCTCGGGGGAATTGTCTTGGAGCCGGCTACCCTAGGAGACTGGTTGTTGTTTGTAGTTGGTTTGCGTGGTTTGTTGAGGTCAAGGGCGTCGACGTCTTTTTGGCAACGATGATAGCGTCAAGATGAGTAGGCTCGAGGCTCGGGCTCTGTTAGTTTGCTCTTTCCGACGTGTCCGATGTGCTTTTCTGTGGTCTGGTTGGCTGTTGTAGACTCAGAGTTGAGGTGGATGGTGTCCAGGTGGTGACGATGACAAGCACTGGTGTCCGTCTACAGAGGACTCGTTAGCGCAAGTCCTACATATTTCCCTCACGATGATCGTCGTCAAAGTTGGAGTTGTCGTTCGTTGGCGCGTGTGGCCAACTATTGGCATGTGCTGCCATGGTCTATGTGCATCTATTTGCAGGCTAGCTTCTTCAACGGGGTTCTCCGGTGAAGTCGGAGTTGCTTCTTCAATGGGGTTATATGGGGGAAGTCGGAGTCACTTGTTTCATGTACTTTATGTTGGTTGATTTGGATTGGTCCAAATCGATAATTTAACTAAAAGAATAATTTTGCTAACCGCTCGTGTCTAATTTGTTCTATATGAACTGGTCAGAACGATAGCGGAAGATATATTTAAACGTTGTACATATATTTTTATGATATATTTTGTTCAATATATTTTCGAACGGAGGGAGTACGAAACAAGAAGAGTTTAGTTGTATATGTACATACCTATGGCAACCTGTGCTGCAAGGGGGAACCTTGGAATGCAGGGAATACTTTTTGGGTCGTCGCTCTGATAACCTGGTCGACATCTGCATTTGTAATCTCCTGGTATGTTTTCGCAATTGCCGTCACAATGATACTTATCCGGAAAATCACATTCATTGATATCTGTATGTTGCACAAGAGTGGATTAAGGCACCATCAGTGTGTAGAGGCATTGGTGCCACTGAGGTGGGATATACTTATTGCCTCTAAGCTTACAAAATGAAACGCAGTGTATAGATCTGAGGCTGCCTCTTAAATGAACCCTATCACTTCCATAGATTACCTTACCAGGGTGGGCCTAATTAAATAGAGTAAAAAATAAAAAAGTACTACTCCCTCTGTCCAGGTGCATTAGGCACCTAACGAAATCCAGGAATTCCTATAATGTAAGGCACTACAATTAGCTAGCACGGTGTGGAGTAATTAATTTTATAAGTCCAACCCAGATAACAAGGCACATACGGCCAGTCATTGCAAAGGGCCACTGCATGCAAGTCCCAACACATAATTGCTGGACGTGCATGCAAACGACCACACACCATGGTTGGATGCCCAAGTGCATCTCCCCACTAAATACACATATAAAGCCGCGCTAATTAATTTTGACTAGTCCAGTCCATACGCGCCTAGATCGCGCTGCACCTTCTTAGGTGCCTTATGCACCTGGACGGAGGGAGTACTGAACAAATTTTATCCTAAGAAAGATTCTCAAGTATTCTTTTTTTAAGTATGGTGAGCTCACATACGTTAGTTAATAGAGGTTGCTGCTGGCCCAATGAATGATTATTTTGGAGTTTATCAATGATGGGGTATAAAACAGGATTATGCATCAATGGAGGTCTTTATACTGGAGCTCTTTGTTATTGTTTCTTTCTACATTGTTCTTAATAGCGGGTAGATTACATCAACCACCAAAATGTCCCTAAAAAACCTACCCAAATGGAAATCAAAACCTTTCATGGTTCAAAAACATTGAATATTAGAGGTGATGTACGCTAGTTTTTTTTGTGTGTGTTAGAGGAAGCAAACTGCAATTTGCTCCCTCCTTAGCGACTTGATAAATTATGGTGCATAAATGTTCTCAAAAGTCAAGCTATGCAAAATTTGATCAATTTTTTTGACAAAAATAATTTGTAAACAGATATTTTTCATTATAAACCTTCCAAGGAGGAAAAGAAGGCAGGTTTAGAGGCAGCAAAATTTATAGACCGTGGATGCTCTTAGGACAGATACTCTGTATGAAGCTATCAGGCGGCCAGCACATATGACATGTATGCATGACAGTTAATAATATAAATTCGATTCTTTGAATTAAACATAGTAATTTCTCGGTCAATTGGTGGTGGGGGTCTATCAAGATATTCTCAACATTTTATACTCTTTGTGTCTAGATAAGAGCGACGACTTAGAATTAGGTATGTTTGAAACAGTAGTATGAGAAATAACAACACCATACTAGTATGTAATTAATTTGGACATGATACACATTTATAATTATGAAATATAATTTTATTGCGGGAAATTAAGAAATATACTAGTAGTAGCACACTAACCAGTACATCCTTCGGGAAGGTAGGCGTTGCCCTCGTAGCCATTGCCGCACTTGCAGGTGTAGCCAGTCCCATTGGTGGAGCTCATGACGCACACACCGAGAGAGCTCTTGCAGGCGTACTCCGCGGCTGTTGACTTGGCCGCGTCGGCACAGGATGCAGCGGGGACGCTCCCGTAGTCGCGGATAGCCCAGTCCAGCCACACCGGCACGGTCCAATCCACTACATCTCTGATCGGCTTTAATAGATCCGACCGCCGGAAGGTGTAATTGGTCTTGTCGACGAGGAAGGCGAAGTCGCATGGGCTGTAGTCAACCACCTTGGAGTGGTTCAGATCGTCGAACCTAAACAGACCGTCAGTGAGCCCCGGCGGGATGTCGACGTGGCAGCACCCGACGCCGGCGCACACGCCGTCCCGCATGCTCGCGGGGCCATTGCAGTAGGACATGCAGCCTGTGTGGAAGCCGTATAGGCTTGTCCAGGGGCCCCCGCTACCTGGCTCGGCGATGCGCCTGCTTGACGCCATGCCCATGGTCATGCACCCGAGGACGACGAACATGTTCCGCGTGTTGGAGATGCGGTACACGCCGTCGCCGTGCATCCCCCACAATCCGCCGTAGCTGGAGACGTGGGCGCCATCCTGGCGGGAGCTGTAGCACTGGAACCCGATGGGAAGCATTACCTGCAGCTCGGCGGTATCGATGGAGAGGTGCACGACCTTGATGGTCGTGTTGGCAAGAAGCGGCAGGACGGGGCTGCCGCCGCCGTCGTCGTTGCAGGTGATCTCGAAGCCCTCGCGGAAGCAGCCGGGGCCGATACCGAAGGGGTAGGGGATGTCGACGCCGCGGCAGCTCGCCTGACAGCTTGGCTTCAAGGTCTGACCGGCGATCGGGATGGTTGGCAACGCCGCTAGCAGCAGCGCTGGAAGCAAGAACGACAACGCCATTGACATTGATTGATGCGAGCTAATGGATACCAATCTTTACTTCTGCACTTAGTAGCTACAGTACCTCGACTACTTAACTACTCCAAGTTGCCATGTTGATCTACTAGTTTGGTGTCCAGCTAGTTAGACGCATCACACGCCGAGACCTTTCCGAAGAGTTAGTTGCTAGAAAAAAAAAGGTGAGGGATATGTTATTATCTGTTGAGTGTTGACAACTACTCTAACAATAATCTAATTTTTTGACAATTCACAACAATAATCTAATAACCACGTTCGCATATGAAGTGAGACCATTTCTCCAAAAGACTAGCAGCTAGCTTGCATCTATTCAACCAATAGCCTCATAAATCATAACAGTACCGTCCAATTGTTCTATATTAATAATCAGCTAATTCAAATATAGTACTATCATTGGGGAATCAAAATGATCGCCTAAAGATGCTCAAATTAATTTAAGTTCTAAAGTCCTCTTAACAAGAATCACGACAGACAGATCGTAGATGTGGCATATACTGGATTACTGGTTAAGAGATAAAAGCATTCCAAAATTGTTGGGATATGACTATTAGGTATGACCCGCCGAACAGGGTTGCAATCTTCATGGCCGGTACACAGCCTGAGCAGAATTCTTCAAATGCAACAGTGATATGTCTCCAATGTATCTACTTTTCCAAACACTTTTGCCCTTGTTTTGGACTCTAACTTGCATGATTTAAATAAAACTAACCCGGACTGACGCTGTTTTCAGTAGAATTACCATGATGTTGTTTCATGTGTAGAAAAAAAAAGTTCTCAGAATATCCTGAAAATCCTCGGAGGCACTTTTTGGAAAATATAAAAAATACTGGAGAAAGAATCAAGACCAGGGGGCCCACACCCTGTCCACGAGGGTGGGGGGCGCGCCCTCCCCCCTTGGGCGCGCCTCCCTGTCTCGTGGGCCCCCTGAGGCTCCGCCGACCTCAACTCCAACTCCATATATTCTGTCTCGCGGAGAAAAAAATCAGAGAGAAAGTTTCATCGCGTTTTACTCGGAGCTGCCGTCAAGCCCTAATCTCTCTCGGGAGGGCTGATCTGGAATCCGTTCGGGGCTCCGGAGAGGGGGATTCGTCGCCGTCGTCATCATCAACCATCCTCCATCACCAATTTCATGATGCTTACCGCCGTGCGTGAGTAATTCCATCGTAGGCTTACTGGACGGTGATGGGTTGGATGAGATTTATCATGTAATCAAGTTAGTTATGTTAGGTTTGATCCCTAGTATCCACTATGTTCTGAGATTGATGTTGCTATGACTTTGCTATGCTTAATGCTTGTCACTAGGGCGCGAGTGGCATGATTTCAAATCTGAACCTATTATGTTTTCATGAATATATGTGTGTTCTTGATCTTATCTTGCAAGTCTATAGTCACCTATTATGTGTTATGATCCGACAACCCCGAAGTGACAATAATCGGGATACTTCTCGGTGATGACCGTAGTTTGAGGAGTTCATGTATTCACGATGTGTTAATGCTTTGGTTCGGTTCTCTATTAAAAGGAGGCCTTAATATCCCTTAGTTTTCACTAGGACCCCGCTGCCACGGGAGGGTAGGACAAAAATGTCATGCAAGTTCTTTTCCATAAGCATGTATGACTATATTGGGAATACATGCCTACATTATATTGATGAATTGGAGCTAGTTCTGTGTCACCCTATGTTATAGCTATTACATGAGGAATCGCATCCGACATAATTATCCATCACTGATATATTGCCTATGAGCTTTTCATATACTGTGCTTCACTTATTTACTTTTCTGTTGCTTCTGTTACAATCACTACAAAACCCAAAAATATTACTTTTGCCATCTTTATCTTTACCATTGTTACCATTACTATCATACTACTTTGCTACTAAATACCTTGCTCAGATACTAAGTTATCCAGGTGTGGTTGAACTGACAACTCAACTGCTATCAAGAATATTCTTTGGCTCCCCTTGTGTCGAATTAATAAATTTGGGTTGAATACTCTACCCTCGAAAGCTGTTGCGATCCCCTACACTTGTGGGTCATCAAGACTAATTTCTGGCGCCGTTGCTGGGGAGCATAGCTCTATTCTCTAAGTCACTTGAGATTTATATCTGTTGATTACTATGAAGAACTTGAAAGACGCTAAAACCAAGATCTATCCCTCAACTACGAGGGGAGGTAAGGAACTGCCATCTAGCTCTGCACTAGATTCTCCTTCTGTTATGAATAAGTTTGCGACACCTAAACCTACTACTGCTATGAATTCTGATATGTTGCATGTTATCGATGATGCCACTTCTACTTTGCATGATACTTATGATGAAACTACTTCTGTGCGTGATACTACTGTGCCATTAGGTTTATTTCTTGATGAACAACTTGCTAGGGCTAGAGAGAATGAAATGATTAAAGATGCTATTATTGATGATAGTGATGATGAAAGATCTCCAAATGATTATGAATTGCCTGTTGTTCCTGAGGGTTATGTTATGGATGAAGAAACTGCTAGAGATTTTCTTGCTTGCAATGATAGATCAGATCTTAAGAAATTGTTAGCTAAGCTGAAACAAAAAACTCTAAATGCTAGAATGAAACATGACCCCGCTTTTGCCACTTCACCTATCTTTGTTACTGATAAGGATTATGAATTCTTTGTTGATCCTGAGATTATTACTTTAGTTGAATCCGATCCTTTTTATGGCACTGAATCTGAAACTGTTGTGGCACATCTCACCAAGTTGAATGATATAGCCACCCTGTTTACTAATGATGAGACATCTCGCTATTATTACATACTTAAGATATTTCCGTTCTCATTAAAGGGTGATGCTAAGACTTGGTTTAATTCTCTTGATCCATGGTTGTGTACGTAGTCCCCAAGATATGATTTATTACTTCTCTGCTAAATATTTTCTTACTCATAAGAAACAAGCTGCCTTGCGGGAAATATATAACTTTGTGCAAATCAAAGAAGAGAGTCTCCCACAAGCTTGGGGGAGGCTTCTTCGATTACTTAATGCTTTGCCTGATCATCCACTTAAGAAAAATGAAATACTTGATATCTTTTATAATGGACTAACCGATGTTTCCAAGGACTACTTGGATAGTTGTGCTGGTTGTGTTTTCAGGGAAAGAACAGTCGACGAAGCTGAATTACTATTGAATAATATGTTGACTAATGAAAATAATTGGACTCTCCCTGAGCCAATTCTTGAGGCAATTCCTGAACCAATTGAGCCAACTCCTGAGCCTATTCCTAAACCCACTCCAGAGAAGAGAGGTGTTTTATTTCTCAGTCCTGAAAATATGCAAGAGGCAAAGAAATCAATGAAATAAAAAGGCATTAAAGCTAAAGACTTTAAGAATTTACCACCTATTGAAGAAATACATGGTCTTGATATACCGCCCGTTGAAGAACCACATTGTCTTAATAACCCGACATAGGTAGTAAAGGTAAATTCTCTCTATAGATATGATAAAGTTGAAATCCCCTCTACTAAATTTCATAGCCCTTGCTTAGATGAATTTGATGATTTTATGGCTAGGCAAGAAAGGTTAATGCTTATGTTGGTAGAGAGTTAAAAAATAATGCTTTCGAGATAGGACGCGTGATAATATGGCTAGAGTTAAAGGTGAACTTAAACTCACTAGTAAACATGCTTCTATGATTGCTACTCAAGCTGAACAAGTACTTAATGCTCAGAATGAATTGCTAGCTGAATTAAATAATAAACATGACTTTGCTGTTAGAGTGGCTACTAGAACGGGTAAACTGACTCAGGAACCTTTGTATCCTGAAGTCCACCCTAAGAGAATTGAACAAGATTCTCAGAACAATAATCTAGATGCTCCTAGTTCCTCTAAGAAGAAGAAAAAGAAAAATGATAGGACTTTGCAAACTTCTAGTGAACCTAATGTAGAAACACTTGAGAATCCTAATAATACTTCTATCTCTGATGCTGAAACACAATCCGAAGATGAACATGAACCTGATGATAATGCTAATAATGATGTTCATGTAGATGCTCAACCTAGCAAAAATAATGAAATAGAAATTGAACCTGCTATTGGTCTTGATAACCCACAATCAAGAAACCAACGTTATGATAAGAGAGATTTTGTTGCTAAGAAGCATGGTAAAGAAAGAGAACCATGGGTTCAAAAACCCATACCCTTTCCTCCTAAACCATCCAAGACAAAGGATGATGAGGACTTTGAGCGTTTTGCAGAAATGATTAGACCTATTTTCTTACGCATGCGCTTAACTGATATGCTTAAAACAAACCCTTATGCTAAATATATGAAAGCTATCATCACTAATAAGAGGAGAATACCTGAAGCTGAGATTTCCACCATGCTTGCCAACTATACCTTTAAGGGTGGAATACCTAAGAAACTTGGTGATCCCGAAGTACCCACTATACCTTGCTCTATTAAAAGAAATTATGTTAGAACTGCTTTATGTGATTTAGGAGCCGGTGTTAGTGTTATGCCTCTTTCCTTGTACCGTAGACTTGAATTAAGTAAGTTGACACCCACCGGGATATCCTTGCAAATGGCTGATAAATCAACTGCTATACCTGTTAGAATTTGTGAGGATGTGCCTGTTGTTGTTGCGAATGTTACTATTTTAACATACTTCATTATTCTTGATATCCCTGAGGACGATAGTATGTCTATTATCCTCGGTAGACCCTTTTTAAACACTGCAGGAGCTGTTATTGATTGCAACAAAGGCAATGTCACCTTTCATGGTAATGGAAATGAGCATACAGTACATTTTCCGAGGAAACAACCTCAAGTTCACAGCATAAATACTATTGAGAAAATTCCATCAATTATTATTGGAGGTTTCGAATTTCCTCTCCCTACTGTCAAGAAAAAGTATGATATTATTATTGTTGGGGATTTTCATATCCCCGTTGAGGTAACCTAGTGTCACTTTGGAATTTCTCCGGTTCTGTGTTATTCGGAATGAGTTTGTTAACAAGACT